GCCCTGACTTGAACCCTCTTGAACATCTCTGGAGAGACCTGGAAATGGCTGTCCACTGATGGTCCCCATCCAACCTGACTGAGCTTGAGAGGGTTTGCAGAGAATGGCAGAAAATCCCCTGATGCAGGTGTGCAAAGCTTGTTGCGTCATACTGAAAAAGACTCAAGGCTATAACTGCTGCCAAAGGTGCTTCAAGAAAGTACTGAGTAAAGGGTCTGAATACTTAAGTACATGTGATATTTCAGTTTTTTCTTTTTAATAAATTTACAGACATTTCTAAAATTCTGCTTTCACTTTGTCATTATGGGGTACTGAGTGTAGATTAATGAGAAAAAGAATTAATTTGAATGATTGTAGTACCAGGCTGCAACATAACAAAATTGAAAAAAGTGAAGGGGGTCTGAATACTTTCCGAATGCACTGTATATATTTGGAAGGCAAGCTGGATACCCTCTAGGCATTTGCCTGCAACATAACAAAATTGAAAAAAGTGAAGGGGGTCTGAATACTTTCCGAATGCACTGTATATATTTGGAAGGCAAGCTGGATACCCTCTAGGCATTTGCCTGGTTTATACCAAGTATTTTGATTTATACTACAAGACTAAATGGCTATGTGTATTTGGACCACCCAGGATTGGAGATGTTCCATCCTTAGAACTGAACAGGGCTCCACTTCCCCTTTTGGGACTGGCATGCAATTTGGGGTTCTCCTTGGACTCACATCTCCTGCTCAAACAGCAGATGGCAGCTGTGGCCATGAAAGCCTTTGCACAAATTCATGTTGTATGCCAATTATGCCCTTCTTAGACCTGGATGTCCTTTGGACAGTCACTCATCCTTTGGTCACCTCTTGTGTGAATTACTGCAATGTGTTCTATGTGGGGCTGCCCTTGAAGACCACTCGGAAGCTTCATCTGAATGCAGTGGCAGAGGCAGCTATGGGCATGTGCAGCATGGCGATGTAACCTTCTGCTTCATGAACTGCCTCGGTTACTAGTAGGATTTCTGATGCAATTCAAGGTGCTGGTAATTATGTATAAAGCCCTTCATGACATAGGACCTAGTTATCTGAGGGAAATCCATCTTCCATAGTTTCTGTATAATCAGGGAGAATTGGCATCCCATCCATTGAACAGTATCATCTAATGGATCTAGGAAGTATGTTTTGCCCTCTGGAACAACATCCCCCCAAGATTTGTTTGCCTCTCCCAACATTATTCAAGAGGCTTTAAAACATTACTTTTCCCAGTTATATAGCTCCTTTTGGAGTTGTTTTAATATTGTATGCCGACCAGCGTTGCAATGGAGTCAGACAGCCTTATAAAATAAATAAATAATTAAATTTTTAATGAAAATTAACCCTGATTTCTTGCTTTGTCAGATCTAGTTTTGTGTGTGTGTGAGAAAGGAGAATGAAATTCTCCTACCCCCA